CCCTTTTTCTGACAGGCAATAATTTGTGATGTTTCCCTGGTTCAGACAGCAAGGGCTGGTCCCAGGGCATCCCTTTGGCCTTCCTTTATCATGGCACCAGAAACTGGGAGAGAGGATTTTCTCTCCTCAGCTTAAAGCAGCAGAAAACCCTCGGGGTTTGCGCTCTGGCACAACAAAAACCATCACTGAGGGGAGAAAACCAGACAAAACCTCCTCTGTGTGCTCCCACTGCCTCTGCCCAAGGGATGGCTCTGGAGAGTGAAGGGGGGATTGCACAGAGCAGATGCAGCACAGCCTGGAGCAGGGAAGAAGGATGGGGATATAGGATTGGGATGCAGGATGGGTGAGTAGGATGGATGTAGGGAAGAAGGATGGGGATATAGGATTAGGATGCAGGATGAGGATGCAGGATGGGGACATAGGATTGGGATGCAGGATGGGTGAGTAGGATGGATGTAGGATGGGGATGAAGGATGGGAATGCAGAATGGGGATGCAGGATGGGGATGCAGGATGGGGATGCAGGATGGATGCAGGATGGGTATATAGGATGGATGCAGGATGGGGATGCAGGATGGGGATGCAGGATGGGGATGCAGGATGGGTGAGCAGGATGGGTGAGCAGGATGGGGATGCAGGATGGGGATCCAGGATGGGGATCCAGGATGGGGATGTAGGATGGGGATGCAGGATGGATGCAGGATGGGGATCCAGGATGGATGCAGGATGGGGATGCAGGATGGGGATGCAGGATGGGAATGCAGGATGGGGATATAGGATTAGGATGCAGGATGGGGAAGCAACTGCTCCCTTCCCAGCAGGACAAAGACAGACTTTTCCACCTCCAAAACCCTGGAGAGCCATGCTAGAGGATCACAGCCCATGCAGAGAGCAGGGCTCAGAGCTGTGTGTCAGAGCAGGAGCACGAGGGCTTGGATCACACATCCCAAACCAAAGGGTGCCAAAAAGTCACCCATCCCTGCCCAGCAAGGCTGGAAAACACGGGAGAAGGGATGGGAACACAAATGGGGTGAACAAAGGGGGAACAAGGCTGGTTCCTCACTGGGCTGAGGCGAATGTTTAAACAAGGAGCTGATCCCAGCAGCCACATCCCGCCGCCCTCGGCTGCTGCAGGACAAATAACCCTCAGAACACACTTCTCCCCCTCTCCCTCCTCCCTCTGCAGCTCCATCACATGCCAAGACGCTGATACGGACACAGGAAGCTGAATATAAACACATTGCCTGTTTTACCAAATATTCAAAGGAACACAACTAAAAATACYCAGCTGCTGTGTCCAGGAACATCCCGGAGCTGTGATCCACCCCCAGCCA